CGAAGAAGAAGAAGAAGAAGAAGAAGAAGAAGAAGAAGAAGAAGACAGCAAGATTTTGAAGCAGACAAAACTCTCTTTCCCATGCTTGAAATATAGAAATAACCACAACTGGAAGGTAGAAAAATATGCATGCATATAGGTAGGTAGTTAGGGAGGATGGATGGATGGATGAATGGGTGATGGATCTAAGATAGGATAGGAAGGTAGGTAGATAGGTAGGTAGATAGAGAAAGAAAGAAAAAAAGAAAGAAAGAAAGAAAGAAAGAAAGAAAGAAAGAAAGAAAGAAAGAAAAAAAAAGAAAGAAAGAAAGAAAGAAAGAAAGAAAGAAAGAAAGAAAGAAAGAAAGAAAGAAAGAAAGAAAGAAGATACATACACACACAGAGAGAGAGACACATTCCCCAGAATGTAGGGAGATCTAAACCCAGTGCTGGGGCTGTCAGCTAAGATTCACAATTTCAGCAGTTGTTGAGACCAGAGAATGATTCCGTTTCTTTTTCTTTTTATCAACACTAGTTGCCTCTCCAAACCAGACCTTCCGCCTTTCATTAAGCAGAGATGCTCGGTGCTGAAAAGACACAGCTCTGCCAGGCCACGAGACAACACATTAATGCAAAAATGCACTTGCAGAAAGAAAATGAAAATTGCATTCCTAAGGAAGCTGACATCCCTTGCCAAAACTACAGCTTGGGATAAAATATATATATATATATATATATATCTGTTTTTTGTTCTAGGAAGTGCAGGGCCAGGGATACAAATAGAGATTCCTGCTGGTGTCTTACAGTTGTGCAAAGACTGGACTAGATGTGATTGTGTTTCCCCTGCTGTTGACCAACAATTGTGTTGGTGAATAGCAAAGCTGAAAGTGGATGGCATGGGACCCCCAAATCCATCATTCATGCCTAAACAAGACTTATGGGGTTCTTGATACACTCTGAACGGGGTGGGTTTTCTTACAGACATTTTTATTACCCAGCTAGGTAACATCACCAGTGCTAGAAGGGAGTGGGATTTGTAAACAGCAGGAGGAGGAGGAGCAGGAGGAAGAGGAAACTGTGGGGTGCTTGGTGCTCCCTGACTTTAGAGGTTTTCTTGCAGATGTTTCATGACCAAACTAGGTAACATCATCAGTTTGCAGAAAACAGGAAAGTGTGAGAAAGAAACTAAAGCTTGCCCTGTCTTGATGCTCTTTACTATCTCCCAGTCTCCTCTTCCTCCTCATTTTCTGCTAGCCCTGATGATGTTTCCTAGTTGGGTCATGGGTCACATCTGCAGCAAAACCACCAAGCTGAGAAAACCCCAAGGATGCCCCAGCTCAACCCTGAGCTACAAATATCCCCTCCTATCTGAACAAGACCAGAGGGGAAGCTGACCTTGCCAGCAATTGCTCTGGACTCTAATTTCACTAATTGTCCTGTGGAAAAAGGTCACCGTGTTCCTCAGGGATAAACCACAAACTCATTCTGGTTTCCGCCTGGGCTCCGTAGATCCTCCCTGCGGATTCCACCCCAAATCCTCTGGGAGGATCAGGGAGCAGACGGACAACTAAATCACCCTAGATTGACGTCAAAGGCTCTTGTGTAAAAGCCGCTAAAAATAGGAGAGGGAATCAGGTCGGTTGACCGCCGGAGCTTGCTCCAGGGGTCTCGCCCCAGCAAGGGGGCAAAAGTGGGAGGGTGGGAGAGCCACCTTCCCACCAGGGCAGCAGGAAAGCCGGACACTAGTGGGCACCTGTCCCCTGGAGCAAGCTCAACAAGACGGATGGAAGAGCAGGTTGTCATGCGTTACTGCAGGGGTGGATCTGGTCTCATGGGAGAGAGCAGCTAGGTGTGTGTGTGTGTGTGTGTGTGTGTGTGTAAAACAGAGAGAGAGAGAGAGGAGAAGGAGGAGGAAGAAGAAGAAGAGGAAGAAGAGGAGGAGGAGGAGGAGGAGGAAGAAGAAGAGGAGAAGAAGGAAGTAGAGGAAGAAGAAGAGGAGGGAGAAGAAGAGGAGGAGAAAGAAAAGGAGGAAGAATAAGAGGAGGAGGAGGGAGAAGAAGAAGAGGAGAAGGAGCAAGAAGAAGAGGTGGAGGGGGAAGAAGAAGAAGAGGAGCAGGAGGAGGGAGAAGGAGGAGGAAGGAGGTGGAGGAGGAGGAAGAAGAAAAGGAGGAGGAGAGAGAAGAGGAAGAGGAAGAAAAAGAAGAGGAAGTGGAGGAGGAGGAAGAAGAGGAAGAGGAGGAGGAAGAAGAAGAAGAGAAGGAGGAGGAGGAGTTCTACTCAACACAGTTCATATGATGACTCCCTCCCAATTTTGTCCTCAAATTACACCAAAATCTACCATGGAACCCCGAGTCCCATGGCTCCCTTTTTGCCGGCTTTGGGGCCCAACTCACCTCCTCTTTTGGAAGAGGATTTGGAAGACGTGGACCACTGCTTGGTTAGCACTCGCCTCGGCAAAGATTCATCAGTATTGCTGGCAGCATCCACCCCCTCGGTGGATGGAGGTATGGCCTTGGATTCCAGGTTGCGCTCGTTCTTGAGGGAGTCTTGAGGAAGGTGGGGTTCTAGGTCAGGCTCATTGATGCTGAACTGGGCCATCTTCTTCGCCAACATCAGCTGGGCCTCCTTTTCCAGCTGTCGGATGTCCTCTATGGTGAGCCCGTACCATTCATCCTGCCAACACCAAGCCTGCCGATGAGCCCTTACCATTACTTTCCGTAAACCTGGGGGAGAAACCAAAATCAGCCATCATCAACCAGCTGTCTCGAACTCATGTTAAGACAAGCTTCTCAAACAATGACAACTTTCCATCTGCCAATCCGTTCAAGACCATCATTTGCCCCTTTCCCTATTTTCTTCCCTAGGCAGACATAAATCCTTCCTTCCTGAAATTCTGGACTCTTGGAAGAGGGTTCATGATGTTTCTGTAAGCTGTGAAGGTAGGTAGAACTTCTTGAGAAGGTGTTCCTGTGTTGAGGAGGAGGAAGACGAAGAGAAAGGAGGAGGAAGAGGAGGAGGAGGAGGAGGACTATTTGGGGACCCCATTTTCTGAGCAATGTATCTCTCTGGGTTTATTCCGTTTCAAGATGTCTTCAATCCTGGGTCTGTAGACCATGTCTTGAATCAGTTGAGACAGATTCTACTGGAGAATCCCCTGGGCCATACCTCTCTTGAGTCCAGCCTTCCAGATGTGTGGACCCATCCCCAGAATTCTAGGCCACAGCTGCACAATTCTGGAGGTTGAAATGCTTGTCTGCACGTGAAGGGTGAACCCAAGTTGGCTTCAGCCATGCCCCCTTGGTCAGAAGAAGAACTGTGTGTTGGGCTTCCTTCCACTCTTCTTCTGGATCATTGGTCCTCTGGTCTTTGAGAACTTCCCTCTCCCAAAGTGGGTCCTTCCAGTGTGTCAAGATGACAACTCTCAAATTCTAGGATCTGGACACATCTGGAGGAAGCTTAACCAGGCCGTCCTGAAATGCCTGGACCCCCCCCCCCCTCAAAAGAACTGGAGCTCGAGGTGAAGACCCCGAAATCAAAGACTCACCAACATCATGGATGAAACGCTCGATTTTCGACTGCATCCCCCAGTAACGGAACTCCACCTTGCAGAGTTTATAGGCACACATAACGGGATAGGTCCCAGGGTTGTTCTTCTGCTCTTGGATCCAGTCCTCTGGCAGAGGGCCCCTGGCTGTCTTGGCTGATTTGAAGACCTTTGGGTCCTCCTCTGATTTGTATTCGTGGGGTGGGACGGGGTCCTTCACGATATCGATAGGATCTAATGCAGGGTGGGGTGCGGGGGGGAGAGATAAATACACCGAATAAATATGCGCAAGCCACAGGAAACCGTCCCTCAATAGCCTTTCCCCCTAAAGGCTTGTTGTGTTTAGATAAGAGGGTAGAGACCTGGTCTCCACCTCTTTCTATTTACACAAGGAAAGCTGGTTTGGTTTAAACAGTTTATTCAAGGCTGGCAGAAACTGGGTAGCCTCAACTTCCCTTGGAGAAGCCAGCAAGGACGCTGCACTTCTTCTACATTTCAGGAGAAGACCTCACGATGGCCACCTCTTTCTAAAAGGACGCCGGATTCCAACAGGCTAAGCCCAACAGAGGTGGCCAATTTGTACTTTTACCAAAAAAGAGACCTTTTCTAGTTGGAAAAGCTCTACTTTTACCAAAACTAGAGATTTTCCAACGCGGAAAGATCTCTTCTCTCTATCAGAATCACAAAATTGGAAGGGACCTTGAAGGTCTTCTAGTCCAACCCTTTGCTCAGGTAGAAGAACCTGTCCTATACTGTTTCAGACCAAATGGCTGTCCAATCTCTTCTTAAAAACTTCCAGTGTTGGAGAATTCACAACTTCTAGTGGCAAGCTGTTCCACTGGTTAATTGTTCTGACTGTCAGGAAATTCCTCCTTCATTCTAAGTTGCTTCTCTCCTTGATTAGTTTCCATTTGTTGCTTCTTATCCTGCCTTCAGGTGCTTTGCAGACTAGCTTGACTCCCTCTTCTTTGGGGCAGCCCCTGAGATACTGGAAGACTGCTATCCTGTCTCCCCTAGTCCTTCTTTTCCTTAAACCAGACATACCCAATGCCGCCAACCGTTCTTCCTATGTTTTATCCTTCTCTCGGGTCAAATGGGAAACAGCAGAGAGCAATTCAAATCCCGTCCCAATTTTCTGCCATTGTTCACAAGGTTTATCCCCGTTTTCCCAAGGCCTGAGGAAGGCCAACCACAGCTGAAATCTAGGCTCTGGGACTCACCTGTCTGTCCCACCCTAGCAACCATAAGAGAGAAATCAAAATGTGAGGAAAGGCTCACACCCACCCAGAACCGTCTGCCTCTTCTCCGCGGGGGAAAGGTTGAACACGTTGGGTTGCTCTCCTGAGTCAGATATATAATAGGTTTCGATATCGATGGAGAATTTCTCCACAAATGGGCAGGTGTACCTGAAGGAGGAGGAGGAGAAAAAGAGCAACTCAAATGCTTAAGATTCAAAACCTCTTCGCCTCAAAAACGTGTCAAGAGCCCTCCCAACCCGCACACTCTCTCTCACACACACATATATGCGGTGTGTAATAAAGGCAGCTGTTTTCCTAAGGAAAAAGACAGGAAAATAAATGAAAAGGCCTCCGGGAGTCACAGAGTAACGCGGAATTTTATTAGCACCTTGGCGCTTTTTTTTTTTTTTGCCAACGTGGCAAAACCGGAGCAAGCTCTCTGCCTTTATTTGAAGAAACAAAAATGATGGCTTCCCCTCACATACAAATGCCCTCTTGGTTGTTATAAACTCGCTGTCAGGATTCCAAGTAATAGGCTCATATCAAGCAAATCGCTGGGTGGTACCTCGTCCTGGTATAAGGATATGCATTCCAGGATTCCTCTTCGACTCGGAGGGCCGCCTTGGGGAGTATCGATCGAAACCAGCTTGGAATATGCATACCAATATGGTATACTTTATGGGTGTACTGCCCGTCGCCTCCTGGGCCATCAATATAGGGTCGGTTTTCCAAAATCTCCACGCCGCTGCCTTCTCCACAAGTCTCTTCGCGGCTCTTTTTCTGAACATTAGAGAAACAGATGAACGAGTAGATAGATATCAATTATTTACAAAACGAAGAATGGCTGAAAAGGGGACATCCAAATAAATCGCCTTGTGATGAGGTTCCATGCAGAAAACCAAACCAAACCAGGGAGTGTGTGTGTGTGTGTGTTTCGCAACCCTAAGTTCTATACCTGCAATAAATTTGTTTTCTTTTTGTTTTGTACAGGTCTCCTTCAAGAAGTGAGGGGAGCCGAATGTCAACTCAAAAATATTTCTCTGGTCTTTTAGCGTTGCCAGCAGAAAGGGACTGGGGGGGGGAGTAGTGCATTCCCTAGATAATTGCTAGGTGGCTGAAGCTTCTGGTGCTCAAGATTATTACTGGAGAGCCTGATTGATGACTCTTGGCTATGGATGTGTTCCATTGGAGAATATACATCCAGGGGGTGGGGGGAAGACCAGGGTCACGGGAGAAATTAATGGTGTATCTTAGTGTCAGCTGCACCTAGGTACACCGACATGGAAACTCCTAATAAATCATTTTGTTTTACTGTGAGAGATGCAGCTAGAGACTGATGATTTGAATGGGGGTGGGTTTGTTGGAGCCCTGACAGCTGTATCTCGGAGGCCCCCAAATGCCACCTGGGAAATTAGGAATACTTTCCTGTTTCTTGTCGATGCATTATCAGTATGGGAAGCACGAGAGTACTCCTTAACAAGCAATTAAAATAATAATCATAATCACAATAGCACAAGCCTGCTCTTCCGTTTGCCTGCTCCCTCCCTCCCTTTCATTTGTGTTTTGTAAGTGATTTTAAAGTGTCTGCCACTTTGGGAATTAAAGACAAGCTGAGATTGGAGTTATGAATTGACTGTAAAAAAGACTTCGGTAATGACCTTTTCTTTTGGCAGGCAAACAAGAAGAAGAGAAAGCTATGCTTAACAAAAACAAAACAAAAAAGATTAATAATGTTGAGAGAGGGGGAAAAAAAACACGCCTAAGAAAGAGACATTAACTTTACAACGTTGACTTGAGGGCCACTTAAAATTCAGTTGAACCATAAAAACAGCAGAAGATGCCAGGGAAAAGTGGAAAGGAAGACACATTTATATGACAGCAAAATAAATTTGATAATTTTAAACGCTCTGCTGCTACTGATCTCATCACAATGAGAACAGCCAGGAATAGGGTGAGCCGGTCACGGCTCTTCCCAAATTTACAAAAGTGATCCACTCCCTTTTTCAGCAGAGAAACAGAAGCTTTTCAAATAATAAAAAGCTTCCATTCACCAACCCATTCCAAAAGGGAGAGGCGATCGTTTGCTAGCTTCCTTCGTTGCTTCCTTCGTTGACCTGTTTGTTACACCTTGTGCGCATTTGGCTGGTTGTTGCAAACAGATCTGAACAATGGCTATTGGGGAAGGAACCTGGCTGCCAAGCCACCATCCCTTCTGTTTCTCCCCCTTCTCGGATGCTAGATTTCCAGGCCAAACGGGGACTTCAAGCTAAAGCAACAACATTAAATGACTCACAACAAAAACCCAGAGAGGCAGAATTGCAGCCACTTAAAAAGCTTTTATGGAAATCCATCTCCGGGCAAAGGGAGAGCGAGTGAGGCAGGACTCGGGCACGCGGTCTTGCCATTGTGGAAAGAGCCACCCCAACAGAGGTCAAACAAGCTATCGGTCATCTGCTGGGGACAGCCAGAAATAACCGGGTGCAAAGGACAGCTGGCTCACCCCTCAAAGAGTGGAACTGGGGTGACCTTTCAGAAGACCGCAGGAGGAGGGACATTCCAAGAGCAGGTGGTCAGCCATGTTGGCTTCCAAGATGAAGACAGAATAATAGAGCTGGAAGGGACCTTGGAGGTCTTCTAGTCCAGCCAATGCTTGTCCAATTTCTTCTTTAAAACCTCCAGTGATGGAGCATCCACAAGTTCTGGTGGCAAGCCGTTCCCCTGGTTAATTGTCCTCACTGTGAGGAAGTTTCTTCTTAATTCCAGCTCGCTTCTCTCCTTGTTTTGAGTCTCCATTTGTTGCTTCTTATTCTGCCTTCTGGGGCTTTGCATAATAGCTTGACTCCCTCTTCTTTGGGGCAGCCCCTCAAATATTGGAATGCTGCTATTAGGTCACCCCCTACTCTTTCTTTTCTCTGATCCAGTTCTACAGAGGAATGATTGAGTCCGTCATCTGCACCTCTATAACTGTCTGGTTTGGTTCTGCAACCCAACAGGACAGACACAGACTCCAGAGAGGAATTAGGACTGCAGAAAAAAATCAATTACTACCCACCTGCCTTCCATGGAGGACCTGTCTACTGCACGAGTCAAAAAGAGGCCTGGGAAAATATCTCCACATCCCTCACATCCCGGATATAAACTGTTTCAACTCCTTCCCTCAAAACGACGCTATAGACCACTGCACACCAGAACAACTACCTCGTGTTGTTCACAATGCAAGCGACGCAAGACTTGTGTTCCCGCAGGCCATGTAGACGGCGCAGCCTTGTGTTCCCACGCAGCCTGGATTAATTGCTTTGGGGGTGACATTTCTCTGTGGACCACCAAAATTTCCTCACAGACCACCAGTGGTCCCTGGCCCACTGGTTGGCGACCACTGAGCTAGATCACACATCCTTACTCCAGAGAAGCTGGAAACAGATGAGGAGACCAAATAATAGTGCAGGTTTTGTTTCCAGCTTGCAAAAAACTGGCCTGCTCATTTCTCGCGGTTCAAATTTGCAAGCAACAAACCCAAATGCCGCGTGCAGCGAAAAAGAACAGTGAGCAGCCAGGAGAAACATCAGGACTTGGGGTGTGCTTTTTCACAGAAGCAGAAGATTTGCGAAGTCTAGCATCTCCACAAGCACAAAGGACTGGAAATGTGTCAGACACCTGACAGCTAGGGATGATGCGAGCTTCGTTTAACGGAGAGCAGTAATTAAGGAAATGCCTAAAGGCAACACCCTGTTACTAATGGTTTCTGACAGAAGCTGCCGAAGAAGCTCCACAGCCTCTGATCTCTAGGTAAACATGATGCTGCAGTCATTGGTGCGGCGTGAACGACCTGAATCGATCAATCCATAGTTTACGGTTTGCAAGACGGATTATTTTCTTCAGATTAGGGGTATCAGGAGGGTACATGGCAACGTAAGAACCAGAAAGAGGTATGTTGCATCAGCTTAACATTGTTTTGGCCACACCACTGGACACTCCTACTTCAAACAATTGTTTTAAGAAAGGTAAAGATTTATGAGTTACATGAAATGTCAAAAGACTGATAAAAAAAACAAAAACAGCTGTAGGCAGAGGTGGTATTCAGCCAGTTTGGACCAGTTCTGGAGAACCGGTAGCGGAATTTGAGTAGTTTGGAGAACCGGCAAATCCCACCTCTGACTGGCCCTGCCAACCCCACCTCTTCTCTGCCTCCCAAGTCCCAGCTGATCGGCTGGGTCTCCTTTGGTTTCCCTGCACAGGAGAACGGAGCTGGAAAGCAGGTTCGTGGGGTGGGGAGGGAAGGGGGACTTTGCAGTATATCCTTCCCCTGCCACGCCCACCAAGCCACGCCCACCAAGCCACGGCCACAGAACCAGTAGTGAAAATATCTGAATTCCACCACTGGTCATAGGTAAAATTGAAAAGGGAGGAAGGGCACACTGGTTTGTCTCCCTTTCTGCTTCTCCTTGCAACGGTACGGTGCTTGGGGAGGTGCTCAAAAGGTTTCCTTCCTTGCCGTGCTTCGAGTCTTTCTCCACGCGAGGTGTTAATGGGACACGAGAAAGAACTCACGGAGAGGAGATGCCGCCTAGGAATGATCAGATAAGAGACTGCTTGGTCCAGAGCTGCATAACGGACGGAGAAAGATGCTCAGAAGGGACCCTCCCTAGTTTCTCAGGCTGCAAAGGAGACGGTGGGGGATTTGTACTTTCAGACTTGCAAGATTCCGTTCATGGAGCTTAGCCCACCTGGTCATGTTTCCTGTCGGGTCTACCTGGTAAGGCTGACAGGTGGAATGTGATAAAAAAAAGATACCTTGAGCATTTTGCTTTGGGGAAAGGGGTTGGGTCCAAATGTCCTCTAGAAGAGACAGGATCCCCCAAAAACATGGCCCCGTGTTTCTGGCAGGGCTTCTACCTTGACATCCCGATCTGCCTCTCTACAATGGAACGCTGACCAGAGCACCTGATCGACCTCCTTCGACATCATCACTCACGCTGACATTTACTTAATTAGAAGCAACTTCTCTTTAGTCAAATCTATAGGCTAAGGCCAGAAATGTTCGAAGCCTGCCTGTTCTGTGGGATGTGACTGATCTCAGGATCACCCCAAGAGGGCTGCCATTTTCAGAAAAACGCGACAACGTTTCCACCCCATCATCACATTTCGGTGTACGTGTGACGGTTTTGCTTGTGCCCCAAGCCAGGTCTTGTTTTATTGACTCCGAGTAGCCAGGCCACCAGGGTCTTATGCTCCAGCATCTGTATCGATGGCGATGAGATTGCATCGCCGATCCGATGGATGTAGCTCAGACGCTGCTTAGCACATGAGGTGTTTGCATGAGGACAGCAGATCAAATGATGTCACCGGTGGCCCTGGACCAAACCTGGGCCTGCCTCAGATGCTCAGCTGTGAAGATGTGGTGGGTCTGATGTGGAGAAGAGGATTAGAACAAAAGTAGGCTAGGTCCCAATTTGGAGAGAACGAAAGCAGTCCTCCAACCCAGAATGAACAGGCTGTTCTTGACAAAACTCCATTTTTAAAAACAAAAAAAAAGAAAACGAACATGGATTTATTGTGCCTGGCTTCGTTGACGCATTCCCTTGGATAAAATGAAGACTCGTGCTCACAAAGCAGAAAGAACCCTAGCCACGTTTAAAATTATAAGATGGATATTTAGAAATAATTAGTGTAATTTCAATGACAACATGACTCAGGTCTCCGGCTTACGAGGGCTGTTCTGCAGAAGTTAGGAATCGAAGCCTGATGCATCCAGTGGAAATCAGAGAGGAGGAAGGCTATAC